ATGCATATATCTGTGAAAATACATTGCTATGCCCCTTTCCTGCTCTCTGTTGCAGCAAATCAAGAATCAGCAATATTCCGAAGCTTGGCGCGCTTTCCAAGAATAATTACAAAACAGAGGCTAATTGGGGCATCCCAGTGGATTTCCGCGCAAGGCAGCCCAGACATGCATCATTCATCAGAGTCAAGGCAGTCCCTGGCTTGCATGCCAGTTTATAGCTTTCTTAGTTAATTTGTAAATTAATTAGGAATTTGTTTATATTCGGACTGTATCATTTGGACTGTATTATTTGGACTGTACTATTTATTCGGACCCTCTGCGCGAGGGCACAACTGTAATAAGTGTGCGTGTGTGTGTTGTATGTCTTCCAACCCCACGTCTTTCTCCCTTTTATTTATCCGCTTATGATGGTTAGATTAGGGCATATTTCGATTAGCATACAGTATGATTGCATATTTGCATTCATTCATCTGTTTTGCATGCACTGGGCTCGGCGCATCATACTAACTGCATTGTATTTTCAATTCCAAATTGAATACGTGTTAGTTGTAGCATTTCATATGCCACGTTTAGAATAGCCGAGCCTGCTATAGTTGCATTTTTGCTTGTGTTGCATTAGGCATTTCTGTATAGTTAGGATCATGCATGGATTTCTGACATAGCTTTTGTTTTGGCTTGGAGTACTCGGTAAGTGTTTATGCTTTAGCATCCTTGCATGCGTGTGAGTGAATGCCATGATAGCATGCTTACCATGAGGCTATTTGCTTATGTGATATAGTTGCCTGAATGCCTGTGGGTGAAGGTTGGATTATTTGAATTGGAATAAATGCATTGACTGTGAGTTTTAAGCCCACTAGATAGTGGCAAAACCATCTTTTCTAAGCCCACCCGAGGGTGGCAAAATCTGCATTTTAAGCCTACCTGCGGGTAGCAAACCATCTTTCAAAAAAACAAACATGAAATGTTTTGTTCCAATTCAGACGATCCAGTCTATACTTATATGCTGTGTGCATCACATAGTAACCTAGGCTAATAACCGGAATAAGAACACACAATGTTTTCAAAAATAGATATCATGGTTAGTAGAGGCCGATCTTTGATCGGGCGAGCGGGGGTGCTCACGAAGTGACCTTCCCCAATCGTACCCAAGTTCCCGAGCCGAAGCAACTTTGGTGATGACGGACACGTGGCCTTAGGCAACGAGTCAGGGTTTCCTAAATTCTCCCAAAATAAAATATTAGGTTGGCGACCTGTATCTGTAAAGCAGTCCATGTTGCACTTCTCAAAAATCGTTTTCGCTCAAAACGATTGTCGATTGTACTCTTTGGTTTAGATTAGAACCGTGGACATTTGAGAGTCCTAGCTGTAGTGACCCCAAATGAACAAGAACGGATGCACCCCTCCCCGGGGCGTTCCGGGACGGTCTACAGTTTCTGGCGACTCTGCTGGATTAGAACTTGAACTCGAAACTCATGATTATGTTTTTGACTACACTAATGTTCTGTTGCCATTGCATTGCATTGGTGCGCCTAGGACCCGTGTTGCATCTCGCTATGTCCCTGAAACGTGTTGCCGGAGGTTGTCCTTTGTCAATGCATGGACCATATAAGGCTGACCGTTTGTCGGCTTTGCCAGTATGGGAACACAAACCCCGTTTTTACCGGGGCACCCTTTTTGACCATTCGACCTAGTGCATATCAAAATCCATAGTGACTATTCCAAGTTAGGACAGGTTGCTTACCCGATTTTAGGTTGTTTGAAACCCCTGTGTGCGTAGTGAAACCCTAGCTCCTGACAAAATAGGATAGGGAACCCTACCCCAACATAGGGGTGTTTTAGCTCTCACTTATCTGTTATGTGCTTTAGAGTGCGTCTCTACAGGAATGCATGTATCAGTGTATGAGTTTGGGCATCAGGCCTGCGGGCATCAGTCAGTATTTGGGAATCAGTTATCTGCGGGTATCAGAGATTCAGTTTCGGGGACAGTGATACAGGGATAATAATCAGTGTTTGAGGACAGTGTGTATTCAGCTGATCGACTGTGTGTTGTTATGCCCGGCTGTGTGTCATGCATTTACTTTACGCTGTTATGCTGTCCGTTTATCTATTTATTTATTTCCTTATTGCTTTATTTATCTCTTTGCTAGGGCAGTTTTAGCACAATTGCTTCCAACCCAGCAGATATTCCCCAAGCACTTTGGATACGAGGTCGCCGACTCAATCGATCCGAGGATCTAATTGACGGACAGCTAGTGTTTCATTCTCTACCCCCCGTTGTCAGAAGAAAGCCGAGAAAGCACAGTGTGTCAGAACAGAGGTTGTCAGAACAGTGGGTTACTCCGTCGGAGGACAATAAAACCGAGGTCCCGATTGTTGCTATAGAAATAGACATACCAGTTAGTCGGATGGATCAGCAAAATACCTCAGGGATGGAAGCCCTGATACGCCAAATGCAGGAGAGCATGAGACAGATGCAAGAGGATGCTGCCCGTCAAGCGGAATTCTCCAAATAGCAGGCCGTGGTCATGGCCCAGCAGGCCGAGCTAATTACCAGACTACAACAGCAGAATGTGGCATCTGCTTCACATCAAGTCCCTCCTCCGCCAGGGGCTTTATTACCTGAGCAGGAACCTACTGTCCAGAACGCTCCATCGAACACCCAGAACACCGGGCCAAATGTCCAGAACATGCAAGAGGACACGAACCTTCCAACGGGGCCAGCTTCGCCCCCGCTTCCACCTCAACTGTCCAAGACCCATACACCCAACCACCCGGACTCCCCCTTCGAGTTCGAAATAGATCATACCGCTCTGAAACTGAGCAAACTTGAGAAGCTCTTCAAGAAATCACAAGGGGTAAAGGCTATTCCGGATATCGAGGATGGATATACCGATGTGGCTGTGACATTGCCCGATAGGTTCAAGATGTCGCAAATTGACCACTTCGACGGGTCCGGGGACCCTATGGTTCATCTTCGGCTATTCTCAGACATCCTCCGGCCAATGGGCCTAACCCGACAACAAAAGCTTTCACTGTTCGGCCGGACCCTGTCGGGTGTAGCCGCCATCTGGTACACGAAGTTAGAGGATGAGGTGAAAAGGAGCTGGGATAAAATGGCTGAGGCCTTTGTCGCACAGTATTCGTACAACACTCAGATCGAGATTACAACTCGTGATCTCGAAACGACAAGGCAGGAGCCCAAGGAAACTTTTTCAGATTTTGTAACCCGGTGGAGGGCAAAGGCGTCGATGATGACTTTGAGGCCCACTAATAAAGACCAAATCCGGATGATTGTGCGCAATCTCCAACCAAAGTTGATGCAGAGAATGATTGTACTCCCCTTTCCCACTTTCTCAGATTTACACGAGATGGGGGTGCAAATTGAGGATGCGATGAAGCAAGGTCTGATTGACCAAGATAGGGAACAACCGAGGAGGACTTTCAACCGTAACAACAATGCAAGCCCAAGCGGCGCTGCAACTGCAAGAGCTTCAGAGGTGAGCATGGTCACCACCATTCCCCCTCCCCTTCCAAGGCCCATGGCGGCCACACCCTTCTTCGGTGCATCCGGAAGTAATAACCAAGCCTCTAAATATCAACCCAGAGGCCAAAGAACCTTCACACCCTTATACATGCCCCTGTCCAAAGCTCTAGGGGTATTGATCAGGAAAAAGCATTTGAAACCCCTGGAGCCGAGGCCACTACCGAATCCACTCCCTTCCTCTCATGACCCAGCAAAATACTGCGCGTATCACCAACAACACGGTCATGACACCGACCGTTGTTTCAGATTGCGTCACGAGATCCAGGATCTTATTGACAAGCAGGTGATTGCGCCTCCCGACAAACCCAATGTCACAACCAATCCTCTCCCACCGCATAACCAAGCTCCCCCTCCCAATAGAATCAATTTTATCCAAACTGGGGTCGCATCTTACGATCCTAGTATCTATATCACCCCATCCCACCTACCCAAGCCGGAGGTGCTCCTTCCCGACTGCACCGACTCTTTGTGCATGTTGGACATCTCCACAACCCAACCAGAGCCGACGGTGGTGACCATCAAAGATGGGGCAGGGCAGACTTCAGGAGAAAACGGGATTGTTGAGTCCGGGATCGAACAGAGGTTTGTTGGGAAAGCTTATGATCCAAGTGAGTACATCTTGTTAATGGGCCGGATTGGACTGCGTATAGAATTTCCAGAGAAGGGAGAGCTGTGTGTCATCCAGGGGAATGGATTTGAGCAAGGAGCAGATGATCTGACAGCTGTGGAGGAGGACTTTGCCAACCTACAGTTTTTCGATGATCAAGAATCATGGGATACGGCAGTCAACTGGTTCGACTATGAGGAATCGGCAGAGGCCACTGGATGGCTCGATGATCAACCAGATGTAGTGGGAGAATCCCAACCGGAACAGGGCCCGGCAGGGGCGAGAGCATCAGCTGTGGCCGGAAGGGCCGGAAGTCAGGTTACATTGCCGGAGAGCGCCGGTACGAAGAATTTCGCTCGGGACTTGAGCATTGTGGATGCACAGAAAGTTGAACAACAAACCACACTAACACAGGCGGAACAAGAAAAGTTTTGGGATTCTGAGAGAATCAGAAAGGCAAAAGCCCATGAAGGGGCCGAGGGTGCTGTGGGCACAAGAACAGAAGATGCTGCGGGCATATGGACTGAAGGTACTGCGAGTACGATCATACCGGGGCCGGACAGGTGTCTGTCGGCCGCCGACGGAATGTGGTGGAAAGACGACGATTTATGTCTTGCCCACACAGACGAAGACTAGGGAAGCAACCAACCGGATGACACTTGGTACCTCGATGAGGTTGATCACATGACGAGAAGTGGGCAGTACTTCAAGCCCCCACACCTAGACCAACCCGAGACATCTGGAAAAGACAAAGAAGCCGAGAGGCAAAAAGAGAAGCATATTGAAGAGGAAGCTGTACTGAAACAGCTAAAGAAGATACAAGCAGACATCTCCATCTGGGGACTGCTTATGGCGTCGCGGGTACACAGACAAGCTGTCTTAACTGCTATGGACAAATCCAAACTCTCCATCGATACTACACCAGAGCAGCTGGTTGGGCTGGTTTTCCCGGGAGGAGGTTCCCCGGCATTGACCTTTTCAGACAAGGAACTACCGCCTGAGGGCATAAATCACAACAAACCCCTCTACATTTCCGTGGAATGTAGAGACAAGTGGATACCGGTGGTACTTGTTGATACCGGGTCCGCCATCATTGTCTGCCCACCCAGAACAGCATATGCAATCGGGTTGAAACCCGCGGACTTCGCGCCGACTACCCAGGTAATCAGAACCTATGACAACACTAGCAGGGAAGTGATGGGGACTGTCAAGATCCAGACCCAGGTTGGTCCAGGACAACACAACATTGAATTCGATGTCTTGGATGTTCCCGCAACCTTTAACCTACTCTTGGGGCGACCGTGGTTGCACCAGGTCAAGGCAGTCTCTTCCACTTTGCATCAGATGCTGAAGTACCCTCACGGGAAGGGGGTGGCTATTGTCTTTGGGAATTCATCAATCCATCCACTGCCGGAAGTGTCCACACCAGTCTTGGAAATCGAGCATGGCACTGAGGATGTGTTCTTATCAGGGTTCACTTTGGCTGAGGTTCAAGTTGTGGCAAATATTATGGCTGTGAATGAAGGGATGTACGTCAGTGCTCAATCCGTCTACCTCATGAACAAGCTACAACACATCCCCGGAATGGGATTGGGAAAGAGCGGCCGGAAGGGCGTCTCAGCATTGGCCGAAGTGCCACACAACCCTCATACCTTTGGCTTGGGTTATCTGCCCACCAAAGAGGACTGGGTGAGGAAGGGAAAGGAAATGGCCGGAAGAGCCAGAGCTAAGCAGGCTGGGAAGCCTTTCGAATTGATGCATAGGCCCATCTGGGGTACCCTGAACGGACGCTTCGTCCGGGAGGGGGAAGACTTTCCATTTTGCGGCTTCCTAGAACCATGGCTGAACGTGGAGAGGAAGCGCGTGCCTGGTTTTGAGATCTTCTTCGACCTGTAACTACCCGGGGATGATGTTGCCGAAGAGCAGACAGACCCATCGGCTGAGGTTGAACAGAGCAAGAAAGTGCAGTCCGAGGACGTTGAACTTGAAATGGGGGTAGCGCTGGCGAGTCTACTCTCAGATCCTTCGATCGACCAAAAATGCTTGGGGGATAACTCCTCAGTTTCCATGATTGGGGATGAAACGGCTGCGGGCCTTCCAGCGACTATTTTGGATGCATCTATCGCACCCTCTCTCACTTGGCAATACGAAGAGGAATTCTTATCCAGCAGCACCGGGTCAGGTAGTGAACCAGAATCTGATTCCACCGAGTCCTGTGAGTCGGAATCAGGTTCCAGCTCGACTGAGTCTGAGTCTGGTAATCCTGGGGATGATCACCCGGATACCACAGTTATGTCCAGGTCATCTTTTTCTTTCTCGTTTGAGTCTGTTGTAACCGAGATTTTGGACGATTTGGATGAATTTAATGAGAATCAAGTGGCTGTGGTTTCTGAGTACTTTTCTGTGCCCTTAATTTATTGCATAAACTCAGACTTTCAAAATTTTGATGCAAAACGACGAGGAAGAAATTCCTCCAGTTTTGCAACGTCTAATTGAGCAGGAGCAGGAGAGATTTGTCAAACCCTTAACGGATGAAATCATTACCATGAACATTGGTACTGAGGAGGACTCGCGGCTGGTCCAGATCGGGTCCACGCTATCTTCGGAAGAACGCGAGCGCTTAGTCGCTTTACCAAAAGATTTCAAAGATGTTTTCGCGTGGTCCTACGAAGACATGCCAGGGATCGATCCTGAGATTGTACAGCATCGGATTCCCCTTGACCCCAAGGCCCGGCCTGTCAAGCAAAAACTCAGAAGGATCCGCCCCGACTGGGCTCTCAAGATTAAAGAAGAGGTCACCAAGCAGATCGACGCAGGCTTCCTGCTGGTATCCGAATACCCGACATGGTTGGCCAACATCGTTCCAGTGTCGAAGAAGGATGGCAGGATCCGGGTATGCGTGGATTTCAGGGATTTGAACAGAGCTAGTCCGAAGGACGACTTTCCCTTACCGCATATTGATGAGTTGGTGGATTTTACGGCAGGGCATGCTTTACTTTCATTCATGGATGGCTTCTCAGGGTACAATCAGATAGTAATGGCACTAGAAGACAGAGAAAAGATTGCCTTCACCACCCCGTGGGGGACATACTGCTACGGAGTAATGCCGTTTGGGTTGAAGAATGCTGGAGCTACTTATCAACGGGCCGCGACCACAATATTGCACGACATGATCCACAAAGAGGTTGAGGTGTATGTGGACGACATGATTGTCAAGTCCAAGGAAAGAGAGGGCCACTACACCGCCTTGCTAGCGTATGCAATCGGGTTGAAGCCCA